TCCAGCAGTGTAGTTGGCAGTGGCTTGGTGAATATGTCTGCAGCTTGAACTCGGCTTCTGACATGCTCGAACTCGACCTTTCCTTTTCTGATCTGTTCTCGGATGAAATGAAATCGGACGTCGATGTGCTTGCTCCTTCCATGATTAACCGGGTTCTTTGCCAACTCGATTGCCGACTTGTTATCAACTCGGATCACAACTCTTCATCTCGGATTACTCCCATATGCCTCAATAAATTTGAAAGCCAAACTGCATGACATACGCTCCAAGATGCCGCCACGTACTCGGCCTCGCAAGTCGACAGAGTTACAATGGGTTGCTTCTTTGACAGCCAAGTAAAAGTCGTATTCCCGAGTAGAAATACATAACCCGAAGTACTTTTCCTATCATCGACATCTCCACACCAATCACTATCCGAGTAACCCACTAATCGGTAGTTATCCGATTTTGAATAGAAAAGACCTAGTGACACACTTCCTCAAACATATCTCAAAATTCTCTTCAAGGCCTTCCAATGTGTGTAGCTCGGATCCTCCATGAATCTGCTTGTTATCCCAACACTCAACATTAACTCGGGTCTCGTGCTTGTAAGATATCTCAGACTTCCGACTAAGCTTCGATATCTCCCAGAATCAGCTCGTTCTCCTCCATCAAACTTTGAAAGTTTCGTGCCTGGTTCCATTGGAGTAGAAACCGGGTTGCAATCCTCCATTTTAAACTTCTTTAGGATTTCAAGTGCATACCTTTCTTGGGATATAAAAATCCCTTCATCCGATTGCTTCACTTCTAGGCCAAGAAAATATTCCATCAGGCCTAAGTCTGTCATCTCGAACTCTTTATTCATTATCTCCTTGAACTCCTTAATCAGCTTTGCATTGCTTCCAGTGAATATGAGGTCGTCTACATAGAGAGCAACTACCATCATATCCTTTCCTGATTTCTTTATGTACAAGGCATGCTCGTATGGACATTGCTCATACCCGTTTTTCATGAAATACTCATCGATCCTTTCATTCCAAGCACGAGGAGCTTGCTTCAGTCCGTAGAGAGCTTTTCTCAATCTCAACACCTTCTTTTCATCTCCTCTCTTCATGTAACCAAGTGGTTGCTCTACATACACCTCCTCCTTCAGCACTCCATTTAGAAAGGCTGACTTTACATCCATCTGTAGAATTTTCCAATGTCTCTGAGCAGCTAACGAGATCAGAAGTCGGATTGACTCCATTCTCGTGACAGGAGCAAATACTTCATCATAGTCTACTCCTTCCTTTTGTTTATAGCCCTTTACTACAAGCCGAGCTTTATAGCGCTCAACCTCTCCCTCAGCATTAATCTTCTTTTTGTACACCCATTTTACTCCAACGGGTTGAGCTCCTTCAGGAAGGTTGGTCAGTTCCCAAGTTCTATTACGTTCAATCGCCTCAAACTCCTCATCCATGGCTGTTCTCCACTTCTCATCTTGGACAGCTTTCTCAAAACTCAAGTCTTCAGAGTCGGCCAGAAGACATACAACATGAACTTCACTTGTAGTGTCGTAGATTTCTCGCAGACTTCTCATCCTGGGCTGTTGTGGCTCGGATTCTTCATCAAAGAACTCGGTCATAGTTGTTGTTGATGGTACAACAATGTCCGAGCTGGTTTCGACTTCGGCCGAGTTACTCCAACACCATTGCTTTGTTTCCTCTACGTGAACTTCTCGGCTTACCACCACTTTTTTGTTATCAGGATCATACAACTTATATGCTTTGGATTTTTCATCATATCCAATGAATATGTACTTCTTGCTCCGATCTTCTAATTTTGTCCTATGCTGTCTTGGTACTTGCCCATAGGCCAAGCTACCGAACACCCTAAGATGAGAGACACTCGGCTTCATGCTACTCCAGATTTCCTGAGGCGTCTTTTCTCCTAACTTTGCATGTGGACATCTATTTTGTACATAGACTACACACTACACCGCCTCTGCCCAAAACTTCTTCGGCATGTTCTTCCCTTTCAACATAGAACGAACCATATCAAAAATAGTTCGGTTCTTCCGTTCTGCTACACCGTTTTGCTGTGGAGAATATGGGGCAGTCAAGAAACGCTTGATCCCATGTTCCTCGCAGTATTTGTTGAACTCAAAGGAAGTGAACTCGCCTCCTCTGTCAGATTGGACTGCTTTGATGAATTTACTCGTCTCTTTCTCTACCATCACTTTGAATTTCTTGAAGGTTTCAAACACTTCTAATTTCTCCTTCAAAAAATAAACCCATGTCTTTCTTGAGAGATCATCAATGAAAGAGACGAAATATTTCTTACCATTAAATGATTCTGGAGTTATCGGCCCACACAGATCGGTATGGATCAGTCCGAGTTGCTCCTTTGCTCGGTACTCAGAACTCCTTGGGAAAGAAGTCCTCGCATGCTTCTGCCGAAAGAAACGCATCTGAACTCCTCCTTTGAAAGCATTTTGAATAAATGCTCGTCACCACACATGTGATTACTTGCGCCGGTGTCCAAGTACCAAACTGAGTTATCAGAACAACTCGGTTTGATCTCGGCTTCTGGAATAGTTGTCACTAGCAGCAATCCTTCATCTTCTTCCTCGGCAAGGAAGTTGGTTGTTTCCTCCCTTTTCTTCTCGGACCTACCATCTTTGGAAATATGACCCAGATTTCCACAATTGTAGCATTTGATCGAGTAACACTCCTTGGCAACATGTCCATACTTCCCACAGTTATAACATTCAATACTGTTATTTGTGTTTAATCGGCCACCCCAGGTCTGACCTCGGCCTCCCCGAGCTTGACCTCGGCCACCCCGAGCCTGACCTCGGCCACCCCGGGCCTGACCTCGGCCACGCCAGTTTTGTTGGCCGACATACTCATTACCTCGTCCTCCTCTTCCTCCACCACCTAGGCCTCTACCTCTTCCTCGGCCTCTATTATTCTGAGCATAGAGCACCTTCTCATCCTTTATTGTCGCCTTTGCCTGGAGAGCTTGTTCAAGGGACTCCCCCTTCTCCTTCTTATTCTTCTTTCTCTGCTCATACGCCTCCAGGGACCCAGTAAGCTCTTCGACAGTGAGCGTTGACAGATCCTTGGACTCTTCAATTGCACACACTATATTCTCAAAGTCATCTGTCAATGACCTTAAGATCTTCTCCACAACTCGGCTTGAGGGAAGATTCTCTCCATTCCTGTTTAGCTTGTTCACCACGGTCTCCACCCGAGTAATGAACTCGGATACTCCTTCGGATTCCTTCATTCTCATGTTTTCCAGTTCGCCCCTAAGGGTTTGAAGCCGAACTTGCTTCACGCGTTCATCTCCCTTTTTTGCTTTCTCGAGTATATCCCATGCCTCTTTTGAAGATTTAGCATTAGCAATCTTCTCAAAACCCGACTCGTCAACAGCTCGGTACAGCAAATACAGTGCTGCCTTGTCCTTTGCCCGAGCAACCTTCAATGCATTCAGTTGGGCATTTGTATACCCCTCAATGGTCACCGGTTCCTCGTACCCATTCTCAACCACATCCCAGTTATCTTGGGAGCCGAGAAGGGCCTTCATCTGCAACTTCCAGTTATCGTAGTTGACATCTTTAGTCAACTTGGGTAGTGGAATGCCATTAGTTAAACCTGCCATCTCTCTTGAGTGTATACTCTCCACTCACACACCTGACAAGACTTTTTGACTCTCTTCTCTCGGACTGGGTACACCAGGTCGGCTTCACACACTCACCTTACACACAAGCTCTGATGCCAATTTGTTAAGAACAAAGGCATAAAATTGGGAGCAAATAAACTCTCTATATTCTAATTTTTGTTACAAATGAAATTACACTTATTTGTAGCTGACAAAAAAACAACGTTTACATATTTTAAATGCCTCTCATAATTAACACCATTATTATTATTAAAGCAAAATAACTCCTAATTTAAGTTTCATAACAGAGAAGGCATTAGGAAATTGCTTATGCCCCCCATAAGTATCTAATTCAGTTCTTTTTACATTGTTAACTACGGATAACATTCCTTTACCCTTTCAGTTTGTTATTTCATTGCATTATTGGTTGTTGCCTCAGTGCATACAATAAAATAGTATTTACAAACGCAAGCAGAGTGAGTGATCCCGTCGATAAATTTGAGGAAGACCTGAAGTGCAGCAAATTGGGGCTTAACGTTTAGAAAGGAAGGGGCATGGGTAGTTTAGTGCATTCATCCAACCTAAGTTTGATGATGTTCAATAAAAACTGCTTTAATCATAAACAACTACCCAGTCTGGAGTGGCTATGATTTTATTTGTTTAGCCCGGGCTTGAGAGCCATATAAGTTGTAGCCATCAAACATTTGTTTCGTTTCATTAATTCATTTTCTTTTGACTCCCTCTCGATCGACATTATGAAATGGACATCAACTTGGATAAAATATGAATCATATGATTCTCTTCATTATGTCTACGCAGTAGCCTATTTAAGATCAAAAAGGGTATTAACGATTATAAAATATGGCTTATAAGATATGTTAATCAAGAAGACAAGTGGAGAACCAATCAGTCATAAGCAACATATAACCTCCCTTTTTATACTCTTTTCAGACCATGGTACATGGATTTAAAGTGGATTACATATAATCATGCAATTTCTATCATTTTCGTTATCTATTTCTGTGTTCTATTAATGACAATGTACGCCGTGCTTTTCTCTCCAATGAATGATTATGACAAATTAGTATTTATGTAGAGACAAAAACAGGTAGTGGAGTGCATATAAAAGGGTAACAGAGTTGGTTAAAAATATATTCATCTACTTAATTTTTTTAAATCTTATTAAAAATATAAAGCATAGACAAAATATATTTTAACGTCTTAGTTCACAAAGACCCCCTGCTAACATAGCTGAACTGCAAAATTTGCCACTTCCACTCATAAAAAGTCGGTATTTAAATGACGCTGCATAAAGCATAATGGATATGAATACTCTTGCAGTTAGTTTTTTACTTGGTCATGTCATTAGAGGAATAAACACAAAAATAACTTTAGTAGGTGCTATCATTATGTGTAAATATGAAAAGATACAAGTCCATGTATATCAACTATGAATGTCATGTTAATACACAATCCATCATGGTTACTTTTCAAAAATTTATCCCATTGTTCACAAAAGGGAATGTAAAATCAGAAAAAGCGAGAGAGAGATAGAGAATTTTCTTTTCAATAACATGAAGTACCTTGAATTCAAGGAAACTGTATGGAGAAACCGGTACCAGTCCTTGTGAAATTGAGAGGACCAAACTCATCAAAATCAGAATCTTCATCGAAATCATCCCACTCACGAGGGGAACGGGAATCCTCATCTTGCCCTTTCCTGGTCAGAGGAACTCGCAGCTCAGAAACAGGAACAGGAAGAGGCTCTTCTCTAAAGTACTTGTCATTAAGCAGTTCCATTGCTGTAGCCCTCTTAGCTGGATCATAACAAACCAGTCTCTTCACCAGAGCCACTTCATCAGGGGACCGATTGGCCAAACATGCTTCAAGACCAGCAGGGTTCTCCACCTTGCTAAAGGAGATTATCCCATAATCAGGAAGTTTAGAACATCCAACCCAAGCACTCTCATCTAGGTTACCCAAAACACTAATGATTCTGCTAAGCTGGTCAATATCAGCAGTTCCAGGAAACAAAGGTTGCAGAGTTAAAAGCTCCGCAAAGATACATCCCAAGGACCACAAATCGACCTCCAAACCATAGTCTCTAGACCCATAAAGCAACTCAGGAGCCCTAAACCAACGTGTCCCAACGCATGATGTGAAACAACCAAGTTTTTTCCCTTCCTCTTCCTCCTCTTCCTCTTCCCTATCTATGTCACTTATGGTGCATGTTGCATTTCCATCATAAATGTTAGTATTCATATCCTTATTATGAGTGTCATCTAAAACTCTAGAATATTCTTCATTATCAATAGAAGCGTCAAATCCAGCCTCCGTGAGAATCCTTGCCTGAGAAAAATCCAAACACACTAAATAATCCGGAATCACACCACCAGTAATTCTGATTTTAGATAAATAATACTCTATCGTGTGATTTTCATTTCATGTCCATAGTTGATTAGTTTAAGCACCTGTAATAACTTTAGCTTTAAATAAGAAAACTTATATTAAGTTTTTAGGTTAATTGTATATTCTGTCAATCATGTTTTACAATCTCGTGAATTTTACTCTCAACTTTCACAATTACAATAGTGAAACTTGGCAGGCAAAAAATGCAATTAAATCTATGTTTTTTGTTCCTTTTAAAATAAAAATATTAAAAAACAAGTGATATGACTTGAAGATTAATAATGAATGTAAAGCAGAATGAATGGAAGAATTAGGGTTAGGGTTTTGTGATTGTTGAGGTTACTACCTGTCCAAAATCAGCGATCTTGAGGAGGCCGTGTTCGGAAATGAGGAGATTGGAGGGCTTCAAATCTCGGTGGAGGACCATGTGGCGGTGACAGGCGTGGAGGCCGGAGAGAATCTGGAGCATCCAGCGCTTGAGGTGGGCGGGGGGGAGGGGCAGGTTGGCCTTGGCGGCGTCGGAGATGACGGTGGCCAAGTCGGTGCGGAGGAACTCGAGGACGAGGACGGCGTCCTCGTCGTCGCGGTAGAAGTATTCGTGCAAAACGACGACGTTTGGGGAGCCCTGGAGGAGTTGCAAGGCGTGGATTTCTCGGAAGGCGGAGTGGTAGTCGTGGATCTCCTTGAGGGCGACGATGAGGCCGTCGGAGAGGCGACGGCCGCGGTAGACGTCGGCGTAGGCTCCGGAGCCCACCCGCTCCATCACCTCGTATTTCGCGATTATCTCTGCTCGGGTATGGATGCTCCAGCTCTTCGGCGGAGGATCCATCTCTGCCTCTGCCTCTCCACAACACACAACACACAACAATATTTCTCCAAACACAACTTACATCTATTCAAACAACCTTATTTCCCTCATATTTACTTGCATTCTTCAAACTATAAATATTATACTTCACTATTCATATACCTCAACTAATACTATTTCACCATCAATTAATATATGTATGTAAATTCAAAAATTAAATGATAAAATTTATAAAATTGTAATGTATGAATGAAAAAAAAAATGATTAAACTATTTTAATATCACCGAATACATTTTTATTTTACTCTCATTACACATTTACTTAGTTTCAAAAGTCAAATTCGTGAACTTTTTTCTCCTCCAAAAATAAGTTAAGAGGTAATATAAAAATTGGATGATGCTAAGTACTCGTTTTTAAATAAAAATAAATAAATCATTGATGGAGAGGTTAAAAAGAGGGGGAAAAAAAAGAAAGAAATGAAGGACGAAAATGAAATTTTAATTAAGGATTTTTCTGTGAACATACAACATAAATTAATGTGAAAATTCATTTTAAATCATATATCCAAAAGTATCAAATTAAAGTTACATTATCTAAATTTCATAAGCTAGTCAAATTCATTGAACATAAAAAAAGGGTAGTACAATGAAATAAAAAAGAAATAAGATACACACAAGAATTAAATAAATTAATTTATTAACATGTTCATAAAGTGACATCAATCTTAAAAACAAAACTCCTACGCACAATTAGCTATTAAAATGAAGAAGAAAAAATCATAAAAGGAAGAACTCAAAGACAAAAAAAATAAAATAAAAATAACACAATAAGAACTACGAACTATAAGACCCCTCTTTAAGTTTTAGATTGACTATATTTAATTAATAGATTAAAAAGAACACGTCAAGACTTTTATTTAAGAAATTCAAATTCAATTTCATTTAATTGACTTATCGGTGAAAACAATCATTTAAGACTATCAACTAATTATATCAAAGAAAATAAATGCTATGTGTAAATAAATTCTAGCCTTTTTTAACCTGTTTTTTTTTATTATTATTATAGAACATGCTTAAATTGATTTTGATTGCACCTATATTCATTATTTGATTTTTACTTGATTGTTGAATTTATACTTTATATAAAAATAAAAGTTAGCAAAAATGTTGTTGATACAATATATGTAAATAATCTAAATACACACGTCTTGCAATGTTTCAAGTACTTGTAAAATATACAAGTATCATTTTTGTTGATATAATATATTTAAATAATCTGAATACACAAATTTCAAGTACTATAGTAAAATAGAGCAATAATTTTTGGAGACTCCACTTTTCAAAACACCTAATCAATATTTATATTTTTTTCATCTCTCTTTTCTTTATCACATATATGATATGGATACAACTTTTTTTTATCTCTTTCTTATTAAATGTCAAATGGCTTTGTAGGTGTCCAAAAGTCAGTTTTTTTTTACTCTCGCCTCCCCTCTTCATTTTGTGTCCATCTCTTTCTTTGATATTACTCTTGTCTCAACCTCTTCATCCCACATTTTTATATCATTAGTACTCCCATAAGCCTTACAACATATGAGGAAGTACAGTAAATTAACCAAATTGAGAATGAAAAGGAAGGCATAATAGTAATCATAGTGGCCTCTGTTGATATTTGATGCTAGCCAACTATCTCCTCCTCCTCTTCCTGTCCCATCTTGCACAATCTTCACAATAAGGCTTCCCAACAAGTTCCCCACTCCATAGCCAAAAGTACACAGGGAAATAGCAATACTTGACATTGCCTTAGGAAACTGAGAGTAATAGAACTCTATTTGTCCAATGATATTCAAACCCTCTGCTAAACCATATAGGCAATATTGGGGTACTAACCACATAGCAGACATATTCACCACTCCTTTGGGGTTGTCTATAAACCCTTCCCTTATGGCTTCATTTCTTCTCTTATTCTCCACCAATGCTGCCACTAGAGTGGCCAAGCATGAGATCACTACCCCAATTCCCATCCTTTGCTTAACGGTGAGTCCTCTTCCCTTAGGAAACAAGGGGAGTAGAATGCGGTCATAAACAACCACCCATGCGGTCAAAGTGATGATTATGAATGCACTGAAGCTGGTTGATGGAATGTTCATGTGAAGCACCACCCTGTTCATGGTGGTTGCTTGGACCACAGAAAATGATTGTTGGCTTATAGTGGTGGCAAGTATGATGCCAGTGGACCAAATGGGAAGGACTTTGATTATGGCTTTCAATTCCTCTACTTGTCTCACTGTACACAAACTCCATGGGTCAATCGGCATCCCATCATAGTCCAAATCTTTCTCTCTGTTCTTGATCATGCAAGCCTTGTTCAAGTACCTAGGCAGGGAGAATCAAATATTGAATTAATTAATATGCTCAAGAAAATGTCCTCTAGCAGTTTTCAACAACAAATTTAGGTGTTAGAGGTGTGCTTGATTTGTAGAGAAGAAATTATTAAGTAGTTCAAGAATATGTTCATAGTTCTGATCGATCTTTAGTAAGAACTATAATGTTCTAGATTATCTAATAATTTATCCCTATAGGCTCCATGCAAGGCATAGAGTTAAGTGTGGAATTGAAAGAAGTTTAACTGGATGAAAAAAAAAGGAATGAGAAAATTGGCACATACCTTGCTTTGTTTGTTGGTTGAACAAGATGAGAGCCATTGTGGAAATACCAAATGTCAGAGTTGTTGGGAGGCAGGGTTAAGTGTCTGTTTTTCCATGCTGCCACAATCACTTGGGCGAAGCCAGTGAGCAAGCTCTTGTTTGGTTTCACTTTGACATACATGGAAGAACCCGAGAAAAACATGATAGCAGAAAATGTCATAAGCCCTACAGGAATCCCAAAACCCACAACCCATCCTGCTTTAACTTGGATGTACACTATAAATATCACCGAAACCGTTACTGAAACGCCAACCGAAACATAGTACCAGTTGAAGAAGCTCTTCATGGTCCTCTCATTTTGTGGTTTCTCAGGGTTGTGAATTTGATCAGCAGTGAAGGCTAAGGTACATGGCCTAATGCCACCAGCTCCAAGAGCCATGAGAGCAAGGGAAGAGAAAAGAAACACGAGTTGTGGTGCCGTAGCTTTTGCACATGGTTCTTCATGACATTCAGGTCTTGCATGCCTGATAATAGCAGTGAGCCACAACACAACTAAGCCCTGCAATGAGAATAAAAACCAACATGTAAGAAACTCAAGTAAGGTTATGCTTGAATAAATTTCTGCTTAATACATAAGTCATTATTAGTGAACAAAATAATAAATACATAGTATTCACTGTTGGAAACTAAACAACTTAATTAAGAGACAAAAATTGATACTACTTATAGTAAAAATCATATAAGTGATTATGTATATTTTTTTTTTATATATAAATAATGAAATAAAGGGAAACTACCAGGAGTATAGTACTAAAGTAGTATTAGCTTACAACAAGGTCGATGACTGTTCCAAATGCAATAACGCGAAATCGTCCCAGCCAAGAATCAGAAAGGAAAGCACCAAAGATAGGCAAAAAATTGGACACAGCGTTCCACAGGAATATTACAATAGCTGCTGTTGCAGGGTCAAAATGATACTCTTGTAGCAGGTACAAAATCATGTTCACATGGAGCCCCACATTTGCAACCTTTTCAAATGTCTCGTTTGCTAAAACCACAAAAAAGTTAGAAATTGGAACTTAACTTCTGGTATATACTTCACAAATAGTAACACACAACATTGAGCCAAAAGTAAAACCATGGTTTTTAATGTATGCAAAGAAAAGGGTGATCACCTATGACAAAGGGCAATGTTCTGTAACCTCCCTTTTTCTTTTCAACCACATCGGTGGCTTTCTTTTGCTCCGTTGACATCTCCATTCTTCTTCTGCGATACACGTGGAAATGTTACAAAAAATATAATTGAAGCAAGACACCATAGTAGAAGAGCTTTGTTTTATACAGAGACATATGGACAAAAGCTCTTGTTTTCCACACTATCTCTCGTGTTACTTTTCGGAGCAGGTAGACCTTGTTATCATCTAATTATTGTCTCATCTCAGTGAATGAAATGAGAATTTCTTGTTGCAAACGACTACTCAAATTCGTTTGCTACGTGAGCGAATTCCCGTTTGTGAAGTGTGTATATAATAAATGTGTGTGTGCTTCTTATTGTTAATGTTCTTTTCTCTTTCTTTGTTTGCTCAAGGGATCAAAATGCTCGTGTATGTACCTGCATATATGAAGTTCCAAAGCAAGATTCCAAGTTTGTTAACTACTTCAGTTTTAACTCCCGCGGTTGCGAGGAGTTAACATATAAATAAGGATGTTGGCATGTGATTGGTCTTATAATATATATTGGTTTCTGCCGTCCATTTTCGACTATATATCTTGAAGTGAAAGAATACATTGTACTATTATACAATACTATTATTTTATATGTGACTCGGTGAAACGAAAAGGTCAGCTAAGTGTCCTACCACGGATCACACCTTCCAAAGGCAGAAGGAGAAATAATAATAATAATTTATGTCGTTTTAAGTATCGGTGAACTGGCTTTTTAATTGTACATTTGATTTAAAACTTGAAAAAAATAATTTTGATGAAATTGATTTTAAATATTGAAATATACTAAATAAGATCTTCACCTCACCGTCACAAGGCAAGCAAAAGCAGTACAAAGCATCCGTACGAAAAGTGGAGGTTTAGATGGTATATTTTGTCATCCTTATTTCCCAATGAAACACGCAACCCGACATTGAGCTACTCCATAAAACAAGGATACCGGCAAACTCATCAATCTAAATGAAGCAATATGGAAGCACCAATAAGAAAAAATAGAGAGAAAATTCGAACGAAATGTAACGTCTTTACTTGATTTTAGAAAAACAACATGTAATCATCTAAAATACAAGTAAAGAGGAGTACTTGTAGACACATAATTTCGTTTGGAGTACCCAAACCAAAAATAAAAGTCTACTAGAACAAGATAAACGACCCTTAAGAAGGCAACACGTTGATTAACATTTTTATTCTGATAATATTTTTCATTACAGATCTAATATTTACGATCCAACCGTTGAAATTAAAAATCAAGAAAAAATAATAGTGATCTATGTCTTCTTTTTGACCTTTGTCTTCTTTTTAGTTTCAATGTTTTAACATAATAAACACATATAAGATAATGTCTACTTTCACATTTATTGAACTCTTATGATTTTATTGTGAAAAGGTGCCACTGAAGTTTAACAGAGGATGGCTAAGAAAGGAAAGTGCTCATAAAAACTCCTAATTGTAGACTTTTTGACATATGACAACATATTTGAAGAGATTATTTGAATAATTTTTTTTTCTAAAAGTAATTTCAAAAAGAGAAATGAGAAAGAAGAAAATAAATAAATTTTTTTATTAAGTAAAATTAGTTTATACATAAGTTAATTTATAAAAACTCTCTCATATAATTTTAAAAAAAAATATTTTTAACTTGAGTATAAGTTAGTTTTTTTTTTTAATTTAAATTAGTTTTAATTTATAGAGAAACATATTTCATTTTTTTTTCTATAAATACTTCTTGAAAAATTTAACGTGCCCAAAATGTGTTTTACATTAAAAGCTGTGAATTTATTTTATAATTTTGAAACAAATAAAATGGAAATTAAATTTGGCCCCCTCGGTGTAACGAAAGCTTTCATGTACTTTCTCTGCAACTCCTGGTTAGATTCCAAGTCACATACTATACATGCCGTATCAACTATCAATCTATTTCTTTCAGCCAAAAAGTATCAATCTATTTTTGTTTTGTTCGAAGAATCACCGGTTATAAATTAGTGTAAACTGAAATTACATGCATACAAAAAGTTATTTGCCAGATTTTTAATTCACATATTTAGAAGTATAAAAATATTTCTTTCATATCTTTCAAATTTTACTGATTTGAATTAAAGTACTCAGTAATCTTAATGAACTTAAATTTAACAGTGAGTATATTTTTATTTTTTTCTTTACACATTTATTTACTTTAGAAGAGTCAATTTCATAAATTTTACTCTCCTTTAAAAATATGTTAAGAGGTGATATAAAAATTAGATGATGCGATATTATCATTATTTTTTTAAAATAAATCATATTGAGAGGTAAAAAAGAGGAAGGAGAAAAAAAACGAATGATTTAATTTCAACAATATTATAAATACAACATTATTGTTAAACTTCAATTTAATATATACAAAATATCAAATTTTGATTAATTAAAAAAAATTATAAAATATATTAGAGAATTTTAAATAATTATGAGTGGTTTTAATTAAAAACGAAGATTTACAAAGTTATTTTATTATAGAAGATATTTGAAAAATATATTTTAATTAATTATGTAATTAAAATGTATTTTGATATGTTTTATTTTACTTATAATTTATGTTGAGAGAAATATATTTATTATATATATATATATTAATTATTATATTTTGTTATAATTAATATATTTGTTCTAATATTTATTTTAATTATTTGGTATGTTTTGAAATATAATATAAGGTATTTTAATTAAAGATTTTAATCAAATATTTTATTTAATTAAATAACAGGGAAAAAACTTTTAACTACAATTAATATATTTTAACTAAAGAGTTATAGAGGAGTTAATATTTTAAAAGGAGCAGTTCTAAATAGTTTTTTATGCTTCTTTATTTTTCATTTTTCACAAACACACTTCATTTCATGGTCAGAGCTCGAAAAAATAGAAACAGGAAGGAAACCATCCCAAGACCATGCATTTGTCTTCTTTTTCTAACCATGATAAGGGGGAAGTGACTAATCTCACTTTAGATGTGAGAATGTATATTTGATGGTGGGATTGATCCCTAATCCCTTTTCTATTGTCTCTGTTGTATGTTTTGAGTGGAAGGATTTTTCCAAATGTGTCTTTATTCTTTTTTTCTTCTTGTATGTTCTAATTAATGGCAACTGTATGTATATGATTGTAATTTTAGAGTTTAACCTATAATTGCATGATTTTGGATTACCTATAGTTCTAGTAGGAAAACCCCATTTATAGAGCAATGTGAATATTGATATTAATTGCATGAGTATGTGAAATTGATGTTATATTTGAGTAATTGATGATATAATAAAGTAATATTACGTTTTAATCGTGAGTTTTATCAATTGGTTTGGAGTTTTGCATTTGTATTGTGTGACTTTCGCATAATTTGTAGGTTTCCTGCAAATTGATATCACGTCAGACGTCAAATGGAATGCGTCAAGCACTATTTGATGTTTTGCCCTTATGAGTTGTGGTGTCAAACATGACCTTAGTCACGCTATGTGCACGTGTGATAGAGAGGTTACAGTCCTCTCCACACCAGGCATAGTACTATTAGAATTAGGTTTTATGATCTGCATAAAAACTATAACTTTGGATGTTAGCTTTTAAATGTTGTTGGAATCACCTAAAAAGGATGTCTAAAACTCAAGTTATGTTTAAATTAGTAAGCAAAGGTCAAACTGACAAATTTAGAATTAAATGTTGCAGTTTTGTATTTTTTTTAAAAAGTAGATGACATAATTAGCTCATGAGGTCAACATAGAAGTTGGAGATAATTGTCTTAACTTTCTAAAAAAATAATATCAATTTGATAACAGATATATAACTCTATATAAGGTGTTTGTACCACTCATTGTCTTAGAAGATTAAGTTATAAAAACGTAGTTTGTGAATGATGATGATGAATAACTTTACCTTTAAGTATTTGATCTTATAAATGTTTGAGGTACCTATATCAATGTCTAAGTATAGGGGTTATTTTATGGTATTTGTCTGAGGGGATATTTTATGAGAGTTGTTTTTATAAGGTTATTACACAAGCATACTCCACAATGATGAGATATTGTCCGCTTTGGGCCTAAACCCTCAAGGTTTTGCTTGTAGGGGTTATTTTATGGTATTTTTCTGAGGGGATATTTTATAAGGGTTATTTTTATAAGGTAATTACACAAGCATACTTCACAATGATGAGATATTGTCCGCTTTGGGCCTAAGCCCTCACGATTTTACTTTTGGTCATCACCCAAAATGTCTCTCAATCATTGAAGTATGTTTGTGTTATATAAGTTGTTATTTATTTTCTTATTTTATCGATGTGGGACTTGTTTGTATCTCAACACTAAGAAAGATAAATCATGGGAGAAATTAATTGTTGATATGTTATAATGCAAGTTGATTGTTAATGATTTGAAGTGTTTTAAGTATAGCAAGGTCTAAGGTCTTAATGCATGATATTAATAACCTAATGCGTGATATTAATAACCTTACTAGACTAGTTAATATATTGATTTAAATGTTTAGTGATGTTGACACAATGATGAGATATTGTCCACTTTGGGCCTAAGCCCTCACGGTTTTGCTTTTGGTTATCACCTAAAATGTCTCTCAATCATTGAAGTATGTTTGTGTTATATAAGTTGTTATTTCTTGTCTTATTTTATCGATGTGAGACTTGTTTGTATCCCAATATTAAGAAAGATAAATCATGGGAGAAATTAATTGTTGATATGTTATGATGTAAGTTGATTGTTAATGATTTGAAGTGTTTTGAGTATAGCAAAGTCTAAGGTCTTAATGTGTGATATTAATAACCTTACTAGACTAGTTAATATATTGATTTAAATGTTTAGTGATGTTGACTTCTAAGTGACTATGGTTGAGGTGTTAACATATGATTATGATTGGATGGTTTTATAATAATTCTATGTTGAGGTTATATCAAATGATGTGTAATTGTTTTGTTTAAATTGTGAACATGTATAATCATTGTATTAATTAATATTAATAACTAGTTGTTATATGTGAGTATGTTATTGATATGATTGTGAGCTATGTATAACTTGTAGTGATGCAATTTCTTGTGTCATATTGCTAATATTTAATTAATATAGTTGAATTATTAATTATTATATTGAGAACAGTTGATGAGTATATAATATGAAATCAGTTGACAATGAAATGATGTAATAATGTAATATGATAAGACATGTGATATGTAAATTAATGAGATTATGTGAATTGTTATGCATGGAGTTTGTTGACATGCATTATATGAATAAAAATATTTTTAAGGATATGATATGTAAAACACTGTCAAGGAAGACCCATTTCTCTAAAAGCTTAGAGATCAGTCATTGGGGAAAGCTTGGTATAAAATTCTTAGTCTCGCTCTTTGTGTGCATGGAATGTATCATGTGTGATTCAAATATTCCAATCAAACCTTAGTAGTATGTTCTCCTAGTGAGAGTGTGTTGAGGATGTGATCTGACATGTACTTCTATGTTACTTTACGTGTATTGATAGCAGCAATACACAAGGGTGATGTGTGATATTACTGACGTCACATACATGATAATATGTAATATGTGTCCATTGAATATGCATCCTAATGTTATGTGTTATTTAATTATTATGTCATGAAAGAGTAAAATGTGTTATTATTACCAATTTGTCCATGTTGTGTATATATGTATGTCTTACTTGTGTTTAGTTATCTGGTGACATTCATGCATCGTGAGCCAAAATAAGATGTTTCTCACTCTCTTATTTTGTTTGTTATTGTTCTTATATTTTCTGCAAGTGATTATGAGTATAGTGCTAAAGATACTGGTGATGAGGCAAAGCACAAAATTTTCTCTTCATCTTCCTTCCCCACTAAAGTTACGCATCCAAACACCTTAAACAACAAAGATAAAAGGGAAAAAAATAAAGAAATAAAATGGATGAATGCATAAAAATTTAAAAAGAAATCTCATACATGTGATAAAGCAAACTAGTCATATATATACCAGTTATTCTATGTACAAGGAACTTGGATGTATAAACTTTGAGCTATATACAGCTCATGAGGAACCTAAAAAATGAAATTATTGATAAGATTTAAAGAATGTAATATTGACAAGGTAAGCTCATCTATGTTTTGCTGTACCAGTACTTTGAGCATCTTCTTTTAATTCATTCCCCAAACCTGCCATTACCAGAGATTTAGGAACTGTTAATGGAAACATCTATAATAATTTCGTTTATATGTGACTTAAAATTTGGAAGACAAAGTACAAATGCTACATGGTGTATAGATGGCACGAAAATGCAAAACTTTTAAGTCTAAAAAGTTGACCCAGAACACAATTATCATCGTTATTATGTAATTAAAATTCAAACAAGAGGTTGATTGATTGAATAAATTAAAAAAGCACCTGAATCTGTCCATCTGAGGTTCCTATTACCAAAACTTCTTCATTGCTGTCTAAAGCCATACAATTAACCTTACAATTTGTGCCCATTTGCAACGTGTCAACTCTATGGTGTTTCATCTTATCCCAAATTTCCACAGAACCTCCTTTGCACCCCAAATAGATCAATTCTGAGCTCACTGCCATAGCCCGCACTTCAGATCCAGTTTGCAGTGATCCAACCATACTGTAATTGGAATTGTTCCATATCTAACATTTATATATGCGGCAGTTAGTTAACTGTGATAATGGTAAGACATCCTTAAATTTAACACCAAGTAGCTCAAATGTTGTCTATGCTTCAGAATTCAAAAAATTATGAAGAGCCATATATATACCGCTATTTTTCTAGCAAGAATTGTAACTATTTTTTGACTTTTATATATACTGGCCCGCTAAATCATACGTGTCTAAGATACCTTTATCGCAGATCCATCTAAGGAAGCGCCAGCTGCATATATAAGTTCACCATGAATTTGCAGTGCATGAATAGGATTTGCTTTCCCAAGTAATCTCTTATAACCATTTTGAATAGTATTGACTGTTCCAGTGGCCAAATGTATCTCCTGAAATATCACGAGAATATTATTGCAAAATGTTGATATAGCATCACATTCTGTCTTGCACTTACAAAAACTTGATACCTGAACACTACTGTCATGACATCCACAGTATAGTTTTCCATGAACATGAGCCAAGCACTTCACATATTTACTAGAATTTAACAACTTTGATTCTCCATTCAAAGACAGAACCTGATGAGAGCGCAAAGTAATTTCAGTAGAAAACAATGTTGCTTATTTTAGTTAGTATGTATGAAGTATTTGTCAAGCATTTTCAGTACTAAGGGCGAAGCAGTAACAGAATCTGTTACAAAAGTTAATGGCCTGTAAATATCCCAACCGGGGATTTTGTTGTCAAAGACATAGTCAAATGGGAAGAAAATATAGTAAACGGTACAACGTGCAACTCAGAGCAATGTATCAAGCATATGTTTATGTGTACGAGTGATTGTGACAGAGAGGCATTCATAATAAGGAGACCAGTGTCATTTTACACTCTAGCATGTATAAAAGAAGTGATCAGACTCTCCCAACACCATTTAAAGAAGAACATGTATTCATAGTTTTAAGTACCTTGATACCAGTCCCCTGCGGAATGAAACAAGCTAAGCTATTGGTTACAATTAAATTATGAATCTGGTCCTTCATATCATGCACCTGTATACAATGTATTGCTGCCTTTCCAATAGACCAGACCTGTTCTTTAACGAAACAACACCTTTGTTAGTGGTCAGAGTCAGCTTGACATCGAGGCTAGAGTAACTGTAGAAAATTTTACCTTTGCAGTTCGATCAAGTGAACCACTGTATAGTCTGTCACCAGATTCTGAAATCACCAAGTTTGTCACAGCCTTAGTATGTTCTTGGATCTCTTGCAACAGATCGAATAAGTTATCCTTTAATGTCCAGACCTTCAGAAGTTACAAAGAATTTTTCAGTAAGGTCATAGTATAGTGAGTAGAGTTGTCATTTGCATCCACGACTTGAACATATTTGCCAATGATGAAGCATAACTTGGAATTTTTCCAGTCATTCAATCTTTCAAACTTGTGGCATTAAACATGCCATAAAGTACACTTTATTTTGTGACATATACATATCTCTATAATTTTACGCATTTAGGTCTAATTGCACTTAATTCTCTTTTATGGTAATAGCATAAATCGACAGTTTGATAATGTAATGATTTATTTTCCAGTAATTCTACAGAAACAAATATTTAAATAAACTACTATAGATACAATAAGAAATCTGTTTTCGTTCAGACTTAAAATCGTTATTCACTAGATTTTACAAGGCATTTAAATTCTAACTCAATTACCTTAATAGTGCCATCTGTGTGGCCTGAAAAAAATTTATCCTTAAAGCAAATGACAGACAGCACCTCTCCATTCTCGCTGCAGTCTTCTTTTATGAGCTCTTTATGTATCCAAATGTCCTGTTCCAGTCAAGAACTTTAAATCACCCACCATGCCTATACTAGAAAATGGTTTAAGAATACAACAAACATACCGCTTTAGATTCGTTTTCATCCACCAGAACCTTTTGCATTTTAGATGCTAAGGGACAAAATCTCTTTAGCTCTCTCAACCCTTTTAAGATATCCTTAGTGTAGGAAGTTAGATCGCCTAAGCCGTCTGAAATTCAAAATATAACATATGATCACCATTCACCATTGTTTTTTTTTCTATTTTGCATTACAATGACGTGTAAGAATTTGAAAACACAAATCTACAGAAAGTCTCATAGATTCATGTAGAAAGAAACTATTATGATCTTTTTCATTCCAAATAGTAGACTAATAAAGAATTCAACAATAATAATACACTCCTAAATCAATGTTGAATTTTTGTATTTGAGTGGTTTATCAGGCTTCAAGGAATTGCTGATCCGCAGTTATTCCTTCTTAGACAAGATTTTTGTTTGTCATTATCTAGCTGTATCAGATTTTTGAATGATGTAATGAATGGTTGCGTGGGTGAAACTTACCAGAGAAATGAAGAAAGCTATTGACAGCAAGCACAGAGAGGATTCTGTCTTCTACATCCTTAGCAGAATTTAATTTAGCTATGAACTGCTTCAACAAGCAGGCACGGGCTGCTACTTGTATCCCTGTATCTGGTAGAATAGTTAACATGTATATGAGCCATGTGGCTGATATAAAGCATGCTGATCGTAGTTCTGGATTTCGGCTCTTTATGCCATCTGCTAAAGCCTCAAAAAGAGTGCCAAACTCATGGCTAACTAGAACAGATGCAATTCTTCTTTCCCAATCATCAGCAGCCTTCTCTTCTTCCTGTTGATGTCAAGCAAAAAATAAGGTATCAAAGAGAATATTTGGCAAGCAAAAAGCACAAATCCAAAATACAGGAAGAATTTCGAATGACTTTACTGGAGTTATATCAATATCTGGGCTGAAGTTGCTGATCTGATCCACCTGTACAAGACTTGTGGAACTTTTTTTGATACCTGCGCGTTTAAGAAGGACTTCTCTGATTAGAGGGCTTCCAGCGAAGTCGAAACTCCCTTGCAGTGACATAATTGTATCAGCTGCTGCTAATTGGGTAACGGGGAAATCTGTGTTTCTCAGGCATGAAATAAGAGTATCCATTGCCTCTTCCCGGTATATGCTCATTTTTCTTGGCTCTACCTGAAAATGGCATGATTAAAATTAGGCCCCTATCACTTGTAAAACAGCATGTTATCATTAGTGATTTAAAGGAAGTAATACAAAGATACTGTAACAAGAAATCATACAACTAGTTCTTATATTTAAGATTTAGGGAGCATCTAAGATTCACACCAGAAGATCAAGTTGGAGTAAGAGGCCAGCCATAACTGGACATTGATCTTGAAGGGCTGTCTGCAGATAAATAAGGAGTGTATGCATTGTACTAAAAGGTCCTTCTTCCTTTATAATGTGGAGGATTTGTTCGTTAAATGTCCGCCTGTAGGGAACCCAATGATTCTATAAGGCAAACTAAAAAGTAGATAAGTTTGGTTAGTGCAATTATGAATATGGAAGATATATACCTATTTAACTTGACTAACTCAGTAAAAAATTTAATAATCTTGAAACGGTCTCCATCAGTTGCACCGATTAAGGTTTCCAAAAGAGGTGACAACTCTGCTTTCTCAGCAATGTTGTTCCTGCAAGTCCCATCTTCTTCCATGCATCTCAACAAAATCTCCACTGCAGCAATCCTCTCCTTTGCCAAGTCAGCTCCCAAACTGCCGACAATAATTCCAATTGCTTTTTCTGAGAAAAGGGTATTGACAACCGAAGATGCAATTATCTCTTCACTGCTTCCAATAATCCGTGCTAGTAAAAGCACTGAAGCTGTTTTGGGCTTTAAACACATCTTAACCAACTCTTCCTCTTTCTTATTGAAAACTGTTATGAGAGACTCCACTACTGCCATCTCTGCAAGGTCCATATTGGAAGGGTTTAGGAGATACAACAGCACAACAGCCTCTGTCAACCCGTTCTTGAAAAGAGCCATGATACACTCCATGTCAGTGTCCACACGTGTGAGAGTCTTAACAACAGCATTGTCCCTAGACCCCATTTCCGCCAGAAGGAAAACTGCTGCTTGTAGCACCTGTGGCTCAACAGAATTGAAAAGGATCTCCATAAATCCATTGATTATCGCAGGTTTTGATAGCATGCTATGGATATCCACTCCTAGATCCACTCCTCTCCAGAACTTCTCAATTTGAAGCACGGCCATTTCAGATTCCTGAAGAACCTCTGACATATACAGGTTATTGATTGCACAGCGTAACTCACTCATCATCCCATCAACTGTGGCTTGTGTTATAACGCTATTAGGAGAAGTTGAGGGCATTGTTGACTTCACTACTGCCTCGGTATCTTCGTATGGACTCTCATATGGCGGTGGGACCAAATGGGAGTTTCGTTCTTTCCAGCTAGCAATTAGTCTTTTGAGCACATAATTTGTTTTGGGTAGCTGGGTGTTTTGCAGATTCTGGCGTGTGATGGGACAGGTTGAGTTCCCTCTATTGAACCATTCCTCGATAGCTTTACGTTCATATGTCTGACCAGTTTCAAGAGTCACAGGATCATCAAATATGTGACTTGTTATTGGACAGACAAAGTCCTTGGGAGGTGCATGTTTCCCATTTCCATGCAGCGGGGTTTCGCAATCTGCCATATGATAATCTGGGGAACTACGAGTAGGAAGAATCCAAGTTAAAAAATAATGCAGCACACAACGAAATGAAGAAGAATAATGGTTGTTAAATATTGACGGTACCCCCTGGATTGTTTGAAGATGGTTAGCATTTGTTCTTGAATTTGGCTTTGTCGAGGATCCAACAATGCAATATTTTTGTCCTTTTCCTACAGGATATAGCTTTATCACTTGGCATTTCGAAAAATAAAACAACTAGCATAGAAAATTCAGTCCTCGTTGGAGTATTTTTTTCCCCTCTCGGTAGCATCAATTACCTCATTTTCTGCCTCAGAATCTGAAGAAGAACTCAGCAAACTCTCATCTAAAGAAAAATCAATTTCAGCGGTTGAGTTTAACTTTAAATAGACTGGCGTTGTCGAAGATTTTGAAGAATTCTGGGGTTTAAGGACTCCGGAAAAGACTCTTTGAGGATAAAATGGTGCGTGGGAAGATCTGCTGCTGGAACTGCGGCTCAAAAATTCAATAGATACTTCCCTTTCGGACCATATTGGCTGCAGCAATCAGTAGATAAAGAAAATGACAGAATGATCATGAAATGCAACATGCAAGTGCCTAGTATCGACAAACCTTTTATTCCCCTAACCCAATACACATCGGTAATGATACTCACATAGTTACATACTAGTTCTTATACATAATATTTTTATTTGTTTAAAAAAAATTTTTAAGTTCGTCATGAAATATTCACCGTGGATAGTATAGTAGTGATTAATCTCCTCGCTACAGCGGAGTCTGTCCTTACAAAATTTTATTCAATTCTACTATTTTTTATTTTTATAATTAAAAATATTTCATTTTAATTTCTATACATAATATTTTATTTATGTTAATTTATATAATTTCATAAACTTTATTTATGAATCTATATAATGTTAAACAATAAATAATAAAATAAAATAAAAATAATATGCATATAAAATATAATAAAATACTTTAATTATAAAATTAAAAAATAAAGTTTGTAAATCTATATATACCCAAATGATATTTAAATCTTTTTTAAAATACCTTATCGACACTTCTTTTTTCCTTTACCACGTATTTCTGTTTTTCCAGCAAATCATACTTAACATACTTATATTTTATTTTTCTCTCACTATGTATTTTGTCCAAAATAATTTTTAAATATATAATGAACAAATTACATTCTTAATATTTTTTTTCTTTTACGTATATTTCATATATACTTAATTATTTTCTAAATATTATAGTTAAAAAATCTTAATTATTTTGTTTATCTTTATTATATATGATTTACTTAATTGTCGAAATAATCTTCTATTTTTATTTTAAATTTTAAATTTAATATTTTCAAAGAAATTTTTGACAAATAAAAGTAACATTATATCATAATTTAATTATTTGTTATAAATCTAAAATATAATTATATATTTAAAATATTTATTTTTATACATGTTATTTTAATATAATTTATATATTCAATGCAATTATTTATTAGAAATCTTAATTTTATAAAAATGAAAAATATATCCTATACCTAAACCAAAGTACTAATTAATAATAATAAAATTAGAATATATACAAACAACACATCGAAAGTGAGTGAACATTATAATTCTCCAAATAATTGAAACCTTTGTTTTTTTTTAAGAAAAGCACATAGCATAAAAGATGAAAATTATGAAATGCTTAAATAAAATTTCAGAATCTTAAGAAAACAGAAATCATACTAGACTAGATGGAGAGAGGGGAAAATAATCCCACATTTTAAATAAATAGTTAAATTAAAATGAAAGTAAAATAATATTAATCTACATATTGTTGGAACAATATTTTCTTTAAATATTTATAGAAAAAAAATATTAAAAAAATTTTATACGTAAATTAATTTGTAAGTTCACTTTAAATTTTCTAAAAATTATTTTAATTTATGAATAAGTTTTTTTTTCTCTTTTTTCTTTCATGCTCTTACTATGCCCTAGGAAGACAAGCAAAACGGTGACGAAATTGATTTGAAAAGAGTAACGAAGTGGTAAACACAACATTACATTATACCGTCCGTTCGCCATCACATTCATCTGCGTCATCTCCTCCTTCCTGTCTTCCCTGCCGCTGCTCTTCAGAATCAGCGACGGTGGACTAACCGCCGCGTCACCGTTTTCGCAGGCCAAAACCTCTTTGAAGTACGTCGCCAGAACCCTGCAGTTCTGGTCCAGAACCTCCTCGTACTCCCTCTCCACCTCTCTCAGCTTCGTGGCCTGCTCCTCGCTCATCTTCGACAGCACCTTCGCGCAAGGCAGCACCACGGAAACGGAGTAATCGCAATCGCAATCGTCGGCGTCGTCGCGGCTGGAGGTGGAGAGGATCTGCGTCCTGTGGTCGTCGAACCATCGGAACACGGGGAAGAGGTGGAGAGAGAAGAGGCGCTCGTAGAGCGCGGGAGCGATTTCGGATCTGGCGAGGGAAGCGTTGTTGGAGTGGAAGATTCGGAGGAGGAATGTGGCGGATTCGGTAGGGCGGTTGCGGAGGGCGTGGATGAGAGAGAGGAGGAGCGAGGAGAGGGGGAAGTCGGGGAGAGGGAGGAGGAGCTTCTCGGCGAGGGAGAGGGAGGAGGAGCGGAGGGCGGGGCTGGAGAAGGAAATCGCGTTTTCGAGAGTGTCAGCGGCGAGGTTGAGGTGCTTTTGGTCGGAGGGTGGAGTGTGGCGGAGGAGAGTGGCGACGAGGCGGCGGCGGAGTTGGGATTGGGAGAGGAGGGCGGAAGTGAATGCGGCGGTGTGGCGGAGGATCTGTGCTCGAGTGGTGACCGTTACGGTGGTCATGGCGGTGGGAGATTGAGGAAGAGTTGGGGACGTTGGGTAAGGGTTGGTATATGAATATGACGTTAACGGATTGGATTCAAGCCTCGGACGGCAGCTTCTTAAATGACCATTCTCACCCTTGTTTAATTCTTTACTTTCCTTTCATAACTCAACACATTCGCTAAGATCGTCGTCCTTTTACTATTACCCTCAAAATTACATTCCCATGTTGCCAAAGGACACAGATAACTTAATGGATCTACAGTAACACGCTATATATATATATATATACGATTCGAGTTATGTAATTAGAAATAAATTATGATAGGCAGAATTAGACAAAAGCCAAAGTTAAAATAGCATCATCTCTCACAGCTGTGTCCTGTGTGTGTGCAATGGCCATGGCCCATGGGGGACATTTTGGTAATTCTCTTAGTTTGAAATCTGGCGGCAAAACATGAACAACGGGTGGGACCCGTTTTGCCGCCCAGCCGGCGCTGTTTGACGGTTAATCGCTACAGATCAGCACCACTTCATTATTTTGCTACTCAACACACTTTTTATATTATGCTTCCTTTTGGGCTTTTATTAAACTCTATTTAGTTTAAAATGTCAAATTTTAGTCATTTAAAAAGTTTATGAGATCTATTATCTCATTTTATTTAAGTTAAATAAATAAATATTTGTTATCAATATAACAAAATTATTATAAAGTGTTTAAATTATACATTTATTTATCTTTATAAATGATAATATATATATATATCATAAGTTTATTTAGAGATAAATTTATGTGATATTTAAACATCTTATTACAATTATATTTTAAATAAATTACATTAGACCATAAAATATGATTAAAAATATATTATGAGTGTCATATTAAACTTTAAAAATATATTGATATCATATTCAGTTTTTATAAAATGTAGTATACTTTTACTTCTATATTAGTGTTAAATTATTATAAATAGACTTTTAAACATGTTTAAAGACTAAATCAAGTTAGACTTTTATGTAAACTAAACTCATATTTTATATATATATATATATATATATATATAACAAATAAAGATGTCAGACTCAAGTAATGTATATTCAAATAAGATCGGGCCCAAGTTTAGCACTTTGATTATTTCCAACCCCTACGTATATTTTTTTTATCACAATTCTTTTTGACACAGTTTTGTCCATTTGATACATTCTTTTATATTTTTGCTCATCACATTTTATATGACCGGATTTCATTGTTAGGCTAATGGGCCTTGATACCAGAGCAGGACGTTGCCAGTAAGAGCAAGATTAGAATCCATTATGTAGAACATGGGCCAGGAGCCGATCATGTTATTTAAATTTGGCCTATGATATATACACTTCCTATTTTTATAAATATACTTCCATTCGTTTTTTTAAATAAAATTTTTAAAATATTCTTTTACCTAAATTCTTATTTTAAGTTTTTATTTTTAAACTTATTTTTTATTCATCCTCTTCTTTCATCATTCTTCTTCTTCTTTTTTCTTCTTTTTTTCATTCTCCTTTTTCATCATTCTAATCATTCTTTGATGATTTTATTCTTTTTCATTTTTCATTCTTAGTTTTTCTTCTTTTACAATCAACATAATCATATTTTATATTTTTATCTTTTAAATTCTATTTTTCACTTTCTACTCTATTTTTTCTTAAATCCTAACTTTTCATTCAATCTTCATTATTCTCTACATTCAATACAAGGTACAAATTAATATATTAAATTACATTCTATATTTATAATTTTTTTAACTTATTTAATATTACTTATGAACAACAGGAATATATAATTAACTTACTTCGATCGTAGACGACGGTGGTGGACGATAGAGATAAAGAAACACGTAAGTTAAATTTGTCATATTTCCAGAAAATAAGATTCGAAATGTTAATTTTAACATTCTGAAAACTACTTTCTGGAATAGTAAAATTATTGTTCCAGAAAGCATTTTTTAAAAGTGTGTTTCTTATATAATTCCGGAAAGAACTTTTCGGAACAGTAACTTTAATATTCTGGAAAGCACTTGTCAGAATTATGTAACAAAACATTTTCGGAATAAGAATTTACTATTATGAAAAGTATTTTCTTGAACAAAAACTTTATTATTCTAGAAAGTACTTTTCGGAACAAAAATTTTACTATTCTAGAAATTACTTTCCGAAACAAAACAAAAAAGGAAGAAGATATTACAAAAATTGAAAAGGGTAGAAGGTAAGATAGAGATTAGAAAAGAAAGTGACGAAAAAAAGAAAAAAAAATAATAGAAAAGAAAGAAAAAGAAAGGTGTCCGGAAAAGAAAGAAGAAGGAATGTGCAGGAAAAGAAAGAAAAAAAATTCCAAAATATATTAAAAATAATTTAAGGATTTAATATATTAAAAAAAAAGTGTGTTTATATAAAAATGGAAATGTGTTTATCATCTTTAAATTTTGACTCAACACAACATAAAAGGCTCAGCCCGTGGTCACGTTTTCTTTTAATTATTTTTACATTAAATTTGTTGACAAAGCCTGAGTGCGTGTTGAAGTTCATATTGAATCATCTAGAAACACATTGAAATTTCAATTAACTTGATTTTAGAAATTGATTTTAAGTTAAAATAACTTTAGGCATTTTTTTAGTTGAATCAAAATCTTATAGTGAATTTTTTTATTAATTTATTTTTAAAATAAAGTCATTCAAACATATAAAATATAAATTAAATTTCATTTAAAAATAACTGTAACCTAAACACACACACACACCAAATAACCAAAAAAAAAAAAAAAACAAAAAAAGCGATGGGGGATTGGAAAGTGAAATGAGTTGGAACATGTATGAGCATGTGATGTGACGTGGAAAAGAAGAATAATTAGGGTGTGGAAATGACACTGCCTCGCGTGGTGGCGATGTTTGGTAATTGCTCACCTCCAACACCATTTCCTATTTGCAACCATCATTACTTCTTTCTTTCAAAGTCATGCCAAGCCTGGACTTTCCATCATTTTATTACAAATTTCTTCTCATTTTGGAAAATACCCTATGTACACCACGCTTGCTGTCGGAGAACTGATTTATGCTTCTTTTTTTTTTTTTATAATTGTAGGATTTATAATTAATAGGGTTATATTAAAACCATAATTATTTTTTAACATAGAATAATCACGTTAAAAAAATTAAATATTAAAACTTTCCAAAAAATTCAATGAACAATTGTTGCTATTAAGAAAAAAAAACTTCTTTTATACATAAGAAAAATAAACGAATATAAATAAGTTAAAACTATAAAGAAATAGAAAAAGATCGCACAAAATTTGTTAAGTATGATTTAACTTTTATATTTATGTTTATAAGAATGTTTATTATATATTTTAAAATATATTACATATATATCTTAAAAATCTTGATTTCAAATTTGTGGTTTAAATTTAAAATTTATTTCTCACACAAGTTTTATGGATGAAACTGTAAATTTTTTTTCATAAATTTCTTAACGAAACTTAGTAATCCTCTTTCTACAAGTTGGATAATTGTTTTATCATAAATGTCTATATTTATTGATTTAAAAAAAACAAATATTTAAAATAAATTATAGACAAATAATATATTTTATATATAAGAAAAATACCTAAAGATTTGAAATTGAAAACTTAAATCGAGTCTCAAACCGTTGACATTATTTAAAACATTTTGGTTGTGAATCCGTAGTATGGAATTATATTGTGAGTCTTGGTAGCTATAATAAGCGAGTACCATAATACGAACCATTTGGCCCTACTATACTATGTAGCTTTTCTTAAATTTCATAGCCATATATTGACTAGAAATATCTAGAGAGGTCATTTGGTCAACAGTTTAAGTAATCACATTCCCTACGTAACACCCGTTCCATCTTCTTCGAAATTCCTGTTCTTAACATTCTCTTTTTCTCATTGGCAAAAACCTATCAAAAAAATTTAAAAGTATATTTGAATACAAATATAAAAAATATTTTTAAAATATCTTTATTAAAAAATACTCTTTATTTTTAATTTGTACCGACTTGATTCTAATTATTTGTTTTAGGCGATTCTCTCTGATTCTCTTTCGAGCCTGTGCGGTAGTAGGGATCCCAACCAAGTTATAACAACCTCGTACTATAAGCTTTCTATCCAAATACTTTTATATACATTATTAATATGTAATTGTTATACTTTTTTTTAGGGGTAATTGTTATACTTTTAAAACAGTTTTAACGTCACTGTATATTATTATAATGTAACGTTGCAACTTAACAATTTTATGAGTGCTTTCGTTGACATTATTAATTATTCAATATATATATATATACTAGTAAAATTCAAAAGTTACAATTTTCAAATATGCAGCAAATTGTCACCGAGCTAATTAACAATGAACTTGCTAATTTAGATACTAGTTAGAAGTGATTTTCATAGTTTTTCAACGAAAAAATCTATATTTTTAATAATAAAAAAACTCCTAAAAATATTTCTTAATTCATATCCAAAACAAACTTTATGTTAATTGTTCTACAAGTCAATTTGATTTTAATGTATTTTGTAATCAGCATCTAACAATTTAAATTAATTGTATGAATACATTTAATTTTTGTATTTTTCAAGTTAACCTAGGAATGGGCTTATTCTTCCTCATACAAACGCAAATTTTTTTTTAAAAGGCAAAGATGCAATTTTATTAATTCATGCATCAGCAAGGTTACAATCAACAGAAGTGATTATAGAGATCAAAAATAAAATAAAATAAAATAAAATAAAAAAGAAACAACAATCACTACTACAATAGTTGCAAGGTTTTTTAGTTCTTGTATTTTTAAAATATGTAATCCAGTCTGCATGTAAATTTGATGACATAGGTGTATTATCGTGGAGTTGGAATGTTAATAGGTGTTGAGGTGAGTTCTATTATTTTATTGTTAGATTTTGGCTTCTCATATATATATATATATATATAT